TCTGCTTGCCACAAGCAACACCAGCGGCCAGGAAATTAAAAAATGAATTGCAGTGGGTAAACCTGCTGTCAGGGACCTCTCCCAGAGTGCTGAAGAGCAACAATGTCAGTCTAGAGACTAAGGTGTGCCTGATCCAGGCCGTGCTCCTCACAGTTACTTGCTATGCATCAGAGAGGTGGACACTGGCTAAAGATGATAGAAGAATCATCAGTGCCTTTGAGATTGTGGCACTGGAGAAGATTATTGAACTGCTAAGAGAACAGGTCTGTTTCCTGGAAAGGATGAAACCAAGTTGCTCACCGGACACAAGGATTTTGAAGCTCTGTTACACATCCTTTTGGCATGTTCAGGAGGGACCAGCCCTTGGAGAAGGATGTCATGCTTGGAAGGGTGGAGGGGCAGCCTAGGAGAGGAAGACTGGAAGAGATGGCTTGACACAGTAACTGGAGTTACGGGGGAAGGTGTATTGGAGATGATGAGTTTGGCTCAGGAAAGGGCAGGGTTTAGAGCTACTGTACATAGGTTTGCTATGAGTCACAGGCAACTCGATAGCACATAACAAAATCAAATTTGTTTTAGATTCATCCTTATTTTACAGATTCTTGGTCATTTTCTAGTGAAACATACTTGGGTTGCTTCTAACTCTTTGCTATTATAAATAATGACAGTAGTGGTTTTTGTTTTTGTTTTCAGGTAGGTAAAGGATGAGAATTTGTCCCGAGGCTGTTGTGGGGCCCACCTGACCATGACCATGACCAGGACCCTCCTTAGGTCATGCTCCGACCTCCTACTCAGCTGTTATTATTCCTCCTTGGAGCAGATGGTTAATTTTAAGTTAGGAAGGAAAAAATGTGGGACCTAGGGCCAGGAGACCCGAGGACCACCTCAGCTGAGAGGTCAGGTGACATTAGATTGTGTCAATATGAGGAGGGCACTTTGTCCAATATTTCCTTAACTTCTCATCCTTCCTTAATGTAAGCCACCATTTGTCGTGATCCTCACAAACGCCTGCAGAGTGGAGGCATTGCAGTATCAGATATGACCACCAGGGGCACCCACCTCCAGCTTCTCCTGCAGTGTCGTCCACCCACAGATCTTTTTTTTTTATTATTATATTTTATTAATTTTCATAAACATTTACAGAGATTTTGGGTTTCCATTCATTCATTGCACCCACAGATCTCTGAGATTGTCCTTTTCTCTTTAAAATTATTAACTGCTATTTTTATTTTGGCTTACACAAGAAGGAATACGATAATCATGTGAGGACCCCGAGTTCCTTTGAGGATTGTCCCTGCAACACCGTTATCCCACTCTGGCCCAGGCAAGAAAAGGCTCTCTTTGCTTTCTTGGTGGGCAGTGGGCTTTCTCAGCACCTCAATTCCACTGCACACTGCACCCTGGGCATCTGCTCTGACTCAGGCTTCCAGGCTGGAGCCACGTCAGGTGTCATGAAAAGCAGCTGGTGTGGGGAACCTTGAGGTCTTAAAATCTTTGCTAGTTCCCCTTAGAGCCACCTTCGAGCTAGGGACTAGGTGTGATTTTTTTTTTCTTAATTAATTTTAAAGTTTACAGAGACTTAGGATTTCCATTCATTCATTGTTGCACTTTTCTCCCTGCCCATTCTTTGGGTTATGCAACCATCACTCCTCTCCTTTCCAGAATTGTTCAAGTTAATGTAAATTCACTGTATAAGCTTCTCTAGCCCTTGTAGTTGTTGTCTACATTGGATCCCATGTAGAAAGCTTTAAGAAAATCATGCTCAAATTACTATTTATCTAAACTATGGTTTGATTTTAAGAAGACTTTCAGGGGTATTTTGAGTCTGAAGTTCAAAGATTATCTTGGAACAATAGATACAGCGGGTCATCCAACCTCTGGCTCTTAGGAAGTCTGAAGTCCATGAGAATGTGAAATTCTGTTCTAAATTTCCCCCCTCTTGATCAGTATGTGTGTATGGAATCTTTTATCAATACTCAGTCATGGTAGCCGAGTACCATCCACTTTTGGTTGCATTGCAAAGGAGCCACACATTCTGTCTCCTTCTCCTAGTCCTCACTTTCCTTCTTTCCATTGTTGCAGGTGAGTAGGTATGAGTTGTTGTGCTTGCATATCTCCTCAGCTTTTGAGACCCCAGGCACTACACCCTGAAGTAGGAGGTAGCATAGAAACACTGAACATGTCCTTAGGTCAATTAGTTGGGATGCCTATGAAACCATGACTCTAAACCTCCAAACCAAGGACAAGTTGCTGGGAGAAACAAGATCAGCTTTCTTCTTCCCTAACTGTAGTTAGGTAAATTCTGATCACTCCACTGCCACACATACTTCATTATACTCTCACATTCTGCCATAGTGTACCTTTAACCCCAATGTTTAGTTTCATCTTCAATGAGGAGCAACGATGTCAGTTTGAGGACTAAGGTGTATCTGTTTCCAACCATGGTCTTTTCCATTACTTGCTATGAATCTGAGAGTGGGACAATGACTAAGGATGACAGAAGAACTGTTGCCTTCGAGCTGTGGTGCTGGAGAAGAATGCTGAATATGCCATGTACTGCCAAAGAACAAACAAATATGTCTTGGAGAAGGTATAGTCAGAGTGCTTCTTGGAGACAAAGATGATAAAGCTTTGTTTTACATGCTTTGTGGATGTTGCTAGAAGTGGCTATTCCTTGGAGAGGGGCATCATACTTGAGAAGGTAGAGGGCCAGCAAAAGAGGAAGTCCCTCAACCAGATGTATTGGCACAGTGACTGCTGCAATGGGCTCTGGTGACAGACATTGTGAGGATCACACAGAACAGGTCAGGGTTCAGGTATGTTGTTCATGGAGTCATATGGATTGTACTTGACTTGGTGACACCTAACAACAGCTTCATCGTCAGTCCCACATCAACCTCAAACCAGGGATGCTCAAATCTGGCTGCCTATTAGACTCACATGAGGAGCATTTTATAAACTGTTATCCCTGAGCATGACCCAAATGCTTAATTCAACTGGGTGGCTTCTTGGCATCAACATTTGATAGAGTTCCTTATCTAGTGCTGGCAGGCTGAGAAGCTCTGCCCCAGAAGAGATCAGGCTATACCAGCAGGGCTGCCTCCTGTTGTTAGTAGGTGCCATTCGGTCATCTGGGACTCAAAGACCCTCTGTGTAACAGAATAGAACCCTGCCTGATCCTGTGGCATCGTCAGTCTTGGCTGTGTTTAGTTCCATGGTGGAGTCACTGTGTCAATACTTTAAAAAAAAATTATTGTGTTGTTTTTCCACCTTTCATTTACATTGTTTCATACAATTACTTATACACACTCTATTTCATACAATTACTATTGAACTCTGCCTATTATCATCCCTGTGTCCGTGAGTCCCCATTGCATCTTTCCCATTCTTTCATCACCCCCATCTTCCCACTAAATTCTGCCATCTCAATCCTTTTTCTTCCACGCCCTTATCCCCCTTCTCCTTCCCATTTTGGACATTCACACACATCTAACTTGCTCTCTCCTTCCATTCTTATTTATGCAGTATTTGTCCTTAGGAGACTTGAGTTGGTTCACTCAGCATATAATAATCTCTAGCCTCTTCCATGTTATACCATTGTGTAAATGTACAATTCCTCAATCCATTCATTGTTGATAGGCATTTAGGCTATTTTCATTTTCTTGCTATTGTGAATAACACTGCTATGAACATAAGTTTTATTTTATTTTTATTGCACATATCTCAGTTTTCATTTCCTTGGGGTAGATTCCTAGGAGTGCAATACCTGGGTCCTTACAGGATCTCCATGTTCAGCTTTCTGAGGAAATGTCTCTTTGCTGGCTCTCCTTTACAGAGCATAACCGCTTTCTTTGGGGAGTGGCCCCTCCTGACAACATGCCTGTGGTATCTGAGAAGTCTCATCACCCTTACTTTGAAAGACTGTCTACGCTTCTCTCAAGACATATTAGTTCCTCTGGCATCCAACGTGTATATTCAATATTCTTTGCCAACACCATAATGTAAATCCTCCTTCAGTCCCTAGCCCTCGGGAAACGGAGATTTGCCAGTACGAATGCCTTTTTTTCCAGACTCCTTTTAACAGTGGTTTTGAGCCCAATGCAGGCATATGGCCCCTGTCAAAACTGGCTGGGGGGCTAAGTGCCCAGATTGTCAGGACAAATGGACATGTCTCAAGCATTTCTCATCCTTCCCAAGGACATGTCTCAAGCATTTCTCATCCTTCCCAAGGACTCTGAATACTCTTTCTCTGATTTTAGTTTGCTCTCAGTCATACATAGTACCGAGCAGTTGCTTCTAAATACATAGTACCGAGCAGTTGCTTCTAAAGTAGACCTCATGCTACCTGAGCCCAAGCAGGAAAAGAAGTTAGACATGGTCACCAGGATGAGGGAGCCAAGCAGAAACAGTGTTGAGTGCCAGCGTTCTGGCCGGCTTTCTTCTCAGTGCCATGTCAGAGACTCCTGGTCCAGTTGTCAAATGCAAACTTCTGGCCTCAGTAGCAAGACTGAGGGACCTGCATTTTAACATATTGAGAGTGGTCCTGCATTTAGAACTGAAGACCTCTGATCTACAGGCTCTCACATATCTAGAGGTCTGATGCCAATCTGAGGGGCACTTTCCCCAGGACAGGAGCTGCCCTGCTTCTTTGAGGTCATTGGTTAAGAGGGTGAAGAAGAGAGATAATGAGGAAATGAACCTCTTGACCTCAGAAAACTTCTTCCTGGAGAGTGGTGGGGCCTCTATGGCAGCCCTAGCAGACCCTGGACAGCTTGTGACCTTCAGCACCAAGGAGCTGAGCTTCCAGCTTTTCAGCTCAGAGCAGGCGCAACTGAACATGACCTGGTGGTACTCAGGAGGTAGCAGTAATTCAACAGGTGAGGGAGAGGGTGGGCCACAGACTGGAGCCTCTCTAGAACACCTTCTTCTCACCTTCTAACTTCTTCCTTTCCCCCAGAACCAGCACTGTATAATATCAAGAAAGAAAGAAACTCCCCAGAGGCAAATACATTTTTCTCAAAAGATATATTTACTACTCTTCTCAGTACATCTTTGAGCACCTTTGCCAGAACTCTCAGGAATGTGCAAATTTCCCACACCACCCCTCATGACTTCTTAGGCCTTGGCGACAAGGCCCTTCACAGCCTGCACGATGGCATCCTTGTCAATGCCAAACATCTTCAGCAGCTCCATCGGCTTCCCACTCCTCGGGACCTGGCTGACGGCCAGGCGGGTGACAGTGATACCAGGCTCGCCCACCACAGCACTGGACACTGCTTCACCTATGCCACCTGGACAAAGCAAAGGAGGTGGGTCAGGGGACAGAGGCTTTAGGGTGAGTAGTGGTGGGTTCCCAGAGCCCAAGACTGTCCCCTGGTCATCTAAGCCAAACTCTGAGTTTATACCACAGGTCCAGATTTCTCACACACCTCTCTCCTCTACTCCTAGAGCCAAAGCAGACACTACTAATCAAGCATAGCACCTCACCCCCAATCCTGAAATGCTGCTTCTAAGTTGTTTTCAACAAACTGTATGGACAACTATCATTAATGGACTAGCATTTGAACTTGACTACAGAGCAGTCTTTTACCTCCTCCCTGGGCCTCCTAGGGAGAGGTCTTTCTGGGTTGAGGAGGGCTGCTCTCTGAAAGGTTTGTGAAAGGCACAGACTGTCTGATTCTGTCCCACAACAGCCTTAAGCTATGTCAGGGGCACAATCTAGATTTTCAGCTCCTAGTAGTAAAGTGGAAATCCCTGCTGGGTGGTCGGGCTCCATGGGGACATCCCAGCCACTTAAGGGCTCACTGTCTCTGTGCAGGCCTGAGCCTGCTAAGAGGTCAGGTTCTAGCTATTCCAAGGGACAGCTGTGAGCTCTCCAGTCCAGACATGGAGCTCAGATCACAGGAGCTGACTGCAGCCCTGGACTCGCTGGTCCATGTACCCACCCCATGCTGTCCCAGGCCCCATTACCTTCATAATAATGGTCCTCCACTGTGAGGATCCTGCCCTTGGTGGCCCGGGCACTGTCGAGAATGAGTTTTTTATCCAGAGGCTTGATGGTGAAGGGGTCCACCACGCGGATGGTGATCTTCTCTGTGAGGGGAGAATTGGGGTGTGGTTGAGAGGAGCAGGCTGGGTCTATGAGTCCCTGGGTATGACCTGAGGCAGGTGTCCTGATGGTGTCACACAGTGACCGAAAGCTCACTCCTGCCCAGCTGTGCCCTCACATCCTCTAGTATTCAGCATTTATCACCTCCTCCAGGTAGCCTTCCTTGATCTACCTTTCTGGTTTCTGACTGACTTAAGAGCACCTTCCTCCTCCCTGGTTTCAGACCAACAGATGTCAGTTTGCTGCTTGGCTGCTGCCCATCGGAGGGCACTGAGTACAAGTGTAGTCCCTCGGGAGCCTGCCCACTCCCTCCTCAAGACACCGTGAAAGAGAAAAATCTGGAGAGAAGGATTAGGGTGATAAGGCAGCGGGAAGGGGACCCAGGCATGTGAGTAGCAGAGGGTCAGGTTGGGACCTGGCAGTGACCTTCTCAGGACAAATCAAACCCTGCCACACCACCGTGCCCTGCTTAAAAAAAAGCTCACCTGCACCTCAGGGGAACAGTTCCTACCCCTCTTCCACCCGCCCCCTGCAAGGCGGCTGAGTGTCCCCTGGCTTCTCCATGCCCAGACTCCTCAGCTCTGACCACTCCAGTCCCTCAGTCTGCACACGTCGCTCCTATTCGCTGCCTTCCTTTGCTCCACACTCTGTTTATCAATTCCGACTCACATATGAGGACACTGTCCCCAGTCCTCCCCTTGGAGGTCTGAGCGTGACCGCCATGTGTTTCTAGAACAATACAGTATCAGTGGGGGACATTTTTACTTATGCTCAGGCCCTGTGGGAAGATGGCAGTATTTCCACTTTGTTGTTGTTAGGTGCTGCCAAACAGACTGTGACTCATAGTGACTTCGGAACAATGGATCTGAAACCTGCCCTGCCCTATGTCCTAGGACATCCTCACCATCTCTGACACACTAGAGCCCCCTGCTACAGTCACTGTGTCACTCTATCCTGTGGTGGGTCTTCCTTGCTTCTTCCAGTCCTCCATTTTTCCAGGCATGATGTCCTTCTCTATCTATGGACTGATTCCTCCTGACAACATGTCCAATGTATATGAGACACAATCTCATTATTCTTGCCTCTGAGACGCAGACAGGGTGGTGATAGTGACAACTTTACTCTAAACCAACCCCTGGCCGAGCTGGAATTCAAACACCACTGTCAGATTCCATGACTTGTGCTTGGACCATCACCCTGGGATGTCAGGCGAGGCAGGAATCGTGGCCACTGCAGCCCCAGGACTTGGGGTTATACTGGACACATAGGAAGTACTTGAAGAGTGGTTTTTATGACTCTTACCTTCATTTCATTGGACGAGACTCCCCACAGGACTGAATCCTGGGGTCAGTCTGTTCCCACTGGCCTCCCTGCTCACCTTTCTTCAGCACTTCAGCAGCAGCCAAGGCCTCGTGCAGCGTCACCCCAGCTCCGATCACAGTCACCTGATCATCCTTGTTCTTCAGGACCACCTGGGGTGATATAGGGTCCAGTGAAGCTCAGGGGACTGGAGGCCAGAGCTGGGAACGTTCAGGGTAAGGATGGGGGATTGACTCAACCACAGCAGGGTGGGCTCTGGGGGGGGGGGGGGGGTGGTCATGAAGCACACTGACCTTGGCTTGCCCGACCTGGAAGTCCTCATTGTTGTTGTAGATGATGGCATTTTCCGGGCGGCTAGTCCGGATGAAGCAGATGCCCTGAGGCAGGAACAGAGAAAGCAAGGGTTACTGGGTGGGTGGGCTCTTTCTGGGGGGCTGTCCACTAGGATCACCATTCTCCTCTTTCTAGGGCTTTCTTGCCCCCTATGCAGACTACCTCCCTAGACACACCTCTCAAAGGCTGCCCAATGACTGCCAAGCTTGGACTGAAACTGACTTTTTGACCAGAAAATCTGATGGGTGGACTCCTGTCCCTGCTGGTGCTACTCCCTGGGGCATGCAAGCATGGCTCCCCTCTACCCTCGCGCAAAGGAATGGGAGCCCTTAGACACTCTGGGCTATGGCAGAACTGCCCTCGTGATCCACTGCTTGGCTTACTTGTTTTCTATTTTAAAAAGCTCAACTCACTACAAAGATGGCACTGAAAGCCAAGAAGGAAGCCCCTGCCCCTCCAAAAACTGAAGCCAAAGCAAAGGCAGTAAAGGCCAAGAATGCAGTCCTGAAGGGCAACCACAGCCAAAATAAAAAAGAAGATCCGCAAGTCACCCACCTTCCGGTGGTCTAAGACACTGAGACCCCGAAAGCAGCCCAAATATCCTGGAAGAGCACCCCCAGGAGAAACAAGCTTGACCACTGTGCCATCATCAAATTTCCCCTGACCACTGAGTCAGCCATTGAAGAATATAGAAGAGAACAACACACTTGTGTTCATTGTAGATGTCAAGGCCAACAAGCACCAAATTAAACAAGCTGTAAGGAAGCTCTATGACATTGATGTGGCTAAGGTCAACACTCTGATTAGATCTGATAGAGAGAAGAAGGCCTATGTTCAACTTGCTCCTGACTATGATTCTTTGGCTGTTCCCCAAAGAATTGGGATCATTAGCCAGCTGGCTAATTCTAAATATAAATTTTTTTCTCTCTCTCTCTCTCACACACACACACACACACACAGAGAGAGAGAGAGAGAGAGAGAGAGAGAGAGAGAGAAAATAAAAATAAATAAATAAATAAATAAAAAGCTCAACTCAGGGAGGGCAAATAGATGTCACCTGCCAGAAGGGAGGAAGCAGCCAGGATTCTCAGTGAGGAATGAGCTTAGAGATCAATTAGTGATATGTGTCATGTAGCAGCATAAGTGGCTTGTATTTGCCTCTCCTTATCTAACTCCAATAAGCATCATGAATACCAGGGACAAGGCCAGGAAAAGCCACCCTGAGGAGCAAATCCCAGCTCCATGGTGGCTTCTCTCTGGTCTCCCTCAGGAAGATCTAGCTTCCAGCATGAGGAAGAACAGCCACGGCCAACCAACCTTTGTATTGGCTGCTAGTTCCACGGCCTTCTCTGTAGCCACTCCATCGCTTGGGTAAAAGACTGTTCCATTGGGGATCGACCGGAACATGGCCAGATCTTCCAGGGCCATCTGAGAGGGCCCATCTTCCCCTGGGCATGGGAAAAGAGAAAATGAAGTAAGACGTTCCATCGATGGGGCAGAATCTGGGGCTTACTCCCCAACTCATCCCGGGGCCCTGCTGAACTCACCGATGGACACTCCACAGTGGGAACCGCACAAGTTGATGTTGCTCTCAGAGATGGCTGCCATGCGGATCTGGTCGAAGGCCCGTGTGAAGAAAGCTGCAAAAGTGCTGCAGAAGGGCACCGTCCGGTTGCGGGTGGCACAGCCCACAGCAATGCTCACCTGGGAGGTAGAACAGACAGGGTCAGTCCTGGAAGAGGAAGGAGGGGAGGGTGGCCATAGAACCCAGTACCTCTCTTTTCTTAAAAATAAATTAAAAAAGAAATAATAATAATAAAATAAAAAATTTATTTTATACTGGTTTGCTTATCAAGTTTGTATACATTATTTTTTACTCTATCTTCATTCACACTGTGTTCATACAATCACTCCCACTCATTATGTATTATATTTTATAAAATTATATTTTATAAAAAGTCCTAAATGGAGTTAACAGGCAGAAGGGAAATAAAGAGCATCCAAACTGGAAAAGAAGAACTAAAACAACTCTAATCTGCAAATAATCTGATCCTATACAGAAAATTTCAGACACTCCACAAGAAAGTTATTGGACTCAACAAAGTAGCAGGATCCAAGATCAACACACAAAAATCAATTTTCTCTACATGAACAAGGAGAACTGATTCAAAAGGAAATCATGAAATTGGCATTCATAAGAACCCTGGGAAAGGACAAAACACCTAGGATGGAATCTAACTAGATATTTACCCAAGGAAAACTCTAAGACACCAAGAATCAAAAAAAACACTGACATAAACCACAGTCCATGCTCATAGGTTAGTAGAAGACATAACATTATGAAAATGCCAACACTTTCCAATAAAATGAAAAAAAAATTCAACTCTATATGGAATGAGGTTCCAATTGGCTAAAGCTCTGTTTAAGAATAAAATAGAAGACCTTACACTTTCTAATTTCAATACTTACAATGAGAACTCTCAAAACTATAGCTGGCACAGAGCGGCAGCTTTAGATTTAGCTGGAGAGAAGAAGAGGACTCAGACGAAGAAATGGCCTTGTTAGACTTCCCGGTCCCTAAAGGCACGCAAACCCTGCTGGTCTCCTTGGTCAGGCAAAGGGGTATTTTGACAAATTGTATCATTCCTTAATTTACAGATTTAATTACTGACAAGGGCTGCTCTCTTAACTATAAGCAGAGCAGCCACCCAAATGTTTCTTCCTCTCCACACCTTTTAGGGTAGAGGAGTCAATGTCTTGGCATCAAGGCATTCAGTGGGGCCTGGCTGCTAAACCCATCACATCTCACATTGCTCACTCTTCCATCTGGAAGGCGCTGCTCTCCAGTCTCATCCAATGAAGTGAGGATAAAAGTGCTTCCTATATGAACCGTATAACCCCAAGTCCTGGGGCTGCAGTGGCTACAGTCTCTGCCATACCTAACATCCCAGAGTGATGGTCCAAGCACGTATAGAACATGATGGTGGTGTTTGAATCCCAGCTTGGCCAGGTATTGGTTTAGAGTAAGGCTGCCACTATCACCATGCTTGGGTTCCCCTATCTGCCTCTTAGGATCACCCAGGAGATCCTAGTTGCTGCCATCAAGTCTGCAGGCAGTTCATCCTACATGTCTCTTGGGCCCTGTGTAACAACACCATTTTCACACCCACCAGGACATTGTGTTTTGGCATGACACTCTCACCCACAGTGGCTACTCAAAGTCAGGAGTCAATGCTAGTCCTGATCTCCCAGTCTGGTCCACAGGACATGTAGCACTGCCAAGTGTTGCTGTCCAGAGCAGCAAGGGCCTTTAATTATGCTCCTCATCCCTTAGGACTCAGCTTGGCTGTGGCCAGAACTGTGCCCATACTCTGGACCACTCTGACACCCACCATATTCTGCTCGGCGATGTAGCACTCAATGAAGCGGTCTGGGTGTTCTTTTTTGAAGAGATCAGAGAAGGTGGAATTCTTGGTGTCCCCATCCAGGGCAATGACGCGGTCGCTGCCGTGGCCCAGCTTGGCCAGGGCCAGCCCATAGGCCTTGCGGGTGGCTATCTGTGGAGGGATGGGGTCGAGGTGAGAGGAAGTAGAAAGGCTGTGAGTATCATATGAAGGGTAAGGCTGTAGCTGCTGCCACCATCAAGAGCCCTGCCCAACCTCTGGGGATCCATCACCTGGAGTGGATCAGGAAGTCCTTGGGGAGCCAAAGAACCACAGCCACACAGGAAAGTCATAAAACGCTACCTTGTCCCCAACTTTGTAGCTGGGCGGGGTGGGCATGCGGATGTTGTTGATGTCCACTGAGGGGGCATCCTCCTGCGGGGGTGTGGCCAGGATCTTCTTCTTGCTCTGGATCAGGCTGTAGATTTCCTGGATGGTCTGATCGGCCATATTCTTGGGTAGAGGCTTCCCATGCCAAGACTCTTTATCTTCCACACCTGTAGGTATAACACAGGAGGGCACAGGACAGGTGAGAGAAGAAGGTGCTCCACGGGGCTGGTCCTCCACGTGGCCAGATGGACCTGGGTTCAAAGCCTAGATCAGCCATGCAGCTGCTGAGCAACACACTTAACTTTATTTCCTCATTTGCAAAATCCATCAACCAACAGTGCTGACAAGGAACACTGAGGGTATACTGGGTTATGTGTTGGGCTGTTGACTGAAAGGTCAGCAGTTCAAATCCACTCTGAGGAAGAATGAGAGGCAGTCTGCTCCTGTTAAAATCTCCAGTCTTGGGAATATAAAGGAGGGTCACCTTGACTTGATGACAGGGGTTTGAGTTTGGCCACCTGGCAGGTAGGAGGCCTGGTGATGTAGCAAATTGAACGCAGGGCCTATAACTGAACAGTTGGCAGTTCAAATCCAATAGCCACTTTGCAGGAGAAATACGAAGCCATCTGCCCGTGTTATGATGTACTACCTAGGATTCCCCTCCATATTTCCTTTCTGGGAGGGAGGGTCATTGCTCTGGGGATGTAACTTTCTAATAAACCTATCTTTACTATTTTTTTAAAAAAAAGATTTACCACTTAGGAGACCCTATGAGGCAGTCTTAATCTGTCCTGTGATGGTCTCTCTGAGTCAGAATTGACCCCACAGTGGTAGGTTTGGGGATTTTTTTTTACACTGCATGGTTGTGTGGAGGATATGAAACAAGGTGAGGGTCTCGTACACAGAGTCCATCAGCACGAGTTCCCACTTGACTTTCCCATCCTTGGAAGTAGTGGCCTCCCTTAACTCTGACAGTCCTTAGCCAGCTGTCACCGAGTCAGTCGTCACTTATGGAGATCCCACGTGTGTCAGCGTAGAACTGTGTGTTCCACAGGTGGTTCAGTGGTTGCAACTTCAGGCTTGCAACCTTGGGTAGAATTTGTCCTCAAACTCTATAAGCTGGAGCAATGAAAAATGTTCTTCCCTTCTGATTGTCTATCTCTAGGTTTTTACACATTTTACAATAATACTTGTTTTATCTTTTCTAGCTGCCCTTTGAAACCTTCTGTTCTGCTTGATATCCAAGTCTTTCTTCTAAAGCAACTCAGAGTGGTCAATTCAAACTCTGAGCCATTCAGTTACCATCCAAGAACATTAACCACTTGTCCTGTCTAGGAAGCCTCTTAAAACTCCACAAAGAGTAACCATTTTGACCCTGCTTTGCCTGTAAATAAGCACAGATGGCGCTCAGTCTCCAAAGAGGTGAACCCCAGAAGCAGGGAATACAGATACCCCTTTTCCCATTTCTCCAGAGCCTAATAAAGGCAACCAAGAACTGATGTCAATCCCAGTGTAAGGAGAAGGACCGAGTGGTCTCTGACCCCAGGAGTTTAACCCAATCCCAACCCCATTAGCTTGGACCCTGCCCCGGAGAGGAAGCTCATGCACACTGACCCGTGATCCCTCGGCCCTTGAAGGTCTTGGCGATGATGGCTGTTGGCTGGTGCTTAGCCTGGCCAAAGGCCTTGCACAGCTCCTCCACGCTGTGCCCATCCACGATGACCGCATGCCAGCTGGGGACAGAGAAGGGAAAGTGACACTGTGGAGGCACATGGGAAGGGGCAATGCTCACGTTGTTGGGACCCTGAAGAATGTCCCAGCGAAAAATCTGACTTGGCAACTTGTGGGTTTGCCCTCTCTCATCTCCACAGCTCTGATCTGGAAAACAGCTGGAGGAGTTCAGAAGACTAAAATACTTCTGTTTCCAATTTGAGTCTTTCTAAAAAATTTTATTCTAACTTCCTCTCATTTGCCTTTGAGTGGATTTTCCTTTTTTCTCAAGTAATTCTTGGGATTAGTTCCTTTATTGTTGCCTTCATTCCTGACCTATTCATTTCCTACTGTTTGGGGGACAGTACACTGGGTTTGGAATCTGTCTGCTATGATAGTCTTGAGGAATTCTGGAGCCCAATTTTCATTCCTCCACTGATCCTGGGCGTGGTACTAAAAACTTTTAAACAAGTCATACAAACAACTTTTACTAAACAAGTCGATGTCAAGCATATCAGGGGCTGAGGAGGAGGAGCTGGGACAGTATACTCTGCTTAAAGCAATGCTTTTTTGCAACTGTTCTTGGAATAGTAAAACAAAACCAAAATGTGCTGTGTTGCTAACTCAGAAGCTTAGTGGTTTAAATCCACCAGCTGCTCGGAGGCAGACAGCTTTGGAAACCCAACAGAGGGGTAATGTGAGTCAGAATCCCTCAGTGACAGTGGGTCTGAACCAGGCGCTCACACACTGGGTGCTCTGTCCACATTCACTCATTTAAGTTGCACCACAGCTCCAGAAAGTGAGCTGCTTCCAACCCCATTTAACAGCCAAGTAAACTGAAGACACTGATAATGAAATAACTTGCCCAAGGTTGCAAAGGTATTAAGTAGTGCAGGTGAGCCAGAATCTGGCTTCAGAGCTGTAAAGTTAACCAGAACCATGGCCAGGGTTACATTCTAAGTCCCCAGATCAATGTGACCTTGTGGAGGCCCTTTGCTTCATTTTCCCCATCTCTCCAACAGAGATATATCCCTTCTTTAATAGACTGGTGGTGTCTGCTGTCTATGTAATTGGTATAATCTGCCAGTTTGCTGTGCTCAAAGGCAACAATCCAACCCAAGCGCCCTGATGGCCTTGGCCCATCAAAGCCCACTCAGCCCGTCTGGCCTGCCCAGATCCCCCGACAGCCTCTGCGGCCAAGAGTGAGCCTGTGGGTGCAGATTCTGTGAAGCCCCAATTGCACAGTGTCTTGTACTTGGGCCAGTCTGATACCTATACAGAGTGACCTTTATATTCCACAACACATCTCAGAAATCACCATCATGATTCATGGGAAATCCAGAAAACACTCTGTTCTGTTTAACTGAGAAAGGCAGTGTGTTTCTTGCCTCCAGCTTGGGTGAAGTCAGGCACCAGAGGTGGTCGAATAATGTTCCAGTCTCCCACTAACACAGACTCACTGATCATGTCAACAGACTATAAAGTGATAATCAACCACATACTGATAATCACAACTGTGCAGCCTCCTCATTCCTCACCCCAGAACAAAGTGAGGATACATGGGATTATATACATGGAAGTTCTGAGAAGCCTCATGCTACATAACCATGTCTTGTCCAAAGAAATTCACTTAACACTGGGTCTCAACCTCCAATCTCATGGTGGTGGCTTGAGCTATCACCATTAGTACAAATAGCCCAAGTATGTAACATGAGCCATAATATGTCTTCAAAACTTCGATCACAGATCCCTTGCAGGTTGTCAGCCAGCTCACCCACAGCCTCATACGTACCCAAAGGCCTCACAGCGTTTCTGGTAGACATCCACTTGATGCTGCAGGGGGGCTGGGTCGCTCTGGCCCAGGCGGTTGATGTCCAGAATGGCAACGAGGTTATCCAGCTTATAGATGCTGGCAAAGGCCATGGCCTCCCACACGGAACCTTCTGACAGCTCCCCATCTCCCAGCATGCAGTAGACGCGGTAGCTGCAGGCAGACAGAAGATGATCTAAGGCTAGATCCTCCCAGGCTCCTGGCCCCATCCTTCCTTAAGAACCTGCTTTCTGGGCAAGAGGAATGAATGGCTGCACAAAGATGTAAAGGACAGTGTTTACACAGAAAGGGTAATACACCTTCAAGGGCTTGTTACCCCCTGGCTCAAGTCCGCAGCTTCACAGGAAAGGGCTATGAAAGAAGGTGAAAACAATTCAAGAGATAAGCACCAACTTCTGAGAAGCAGAGCTCTAAGATAATGGGGGTCTGGCCAATAAGAAACTGGAGCTGTTAGGACAGGATGAAAGGGGGACTCGATGAGTACAAGACCTTCAAGGCATGGGGGCAACTGGATGCCTGACACACAGAGTCTCCCCAAGGCCCTCAGGCTGGCTCCCATCCTGGAGATGTGCCCGCCTTTGTCCTTCTCTAGTTCAAAGCCCAACATGGGCTTTCAAAGGCAATGAGACATGCTGAAAATAAGTGAAGGCAGGACAAATTACCTGCCTCTGGAATCCCTGCATTGTAGTTACTGCACTCTGGTGTTTAGAGATGAACTTTCAAAAAAGCAGCCACTGGAAACTCTATGAAGGATGGTTTTAACCTGATACATTAGAAATCACCGTTTATTGATTCAAGACGAGTGTGAGAGTGTGTGTGTGTGTGTGTGTGTGTGTGTGTGTGTGTGTTACTACTCAAATAGAACCTGCACTGGTCCTGGGACTTGGAAAAAGAGAGTGAGGCTAGAATGGGGAGACCAGTTGAAGGACAGACTTCAATCCCAGGACATATGAGGGAGACATGTGGCTCTAGGGGAAACGTTGCAAGCAAAGAAATAATTCTAGGTCACCCAGGGCTACCATGCTTAGTAACTTGCTCCTGAAGTCAGTAAAGTCATTATTCCAAATACACAGACAAGAAAGTCCTGACAGGTTCAGAAAGATCAAGGGACCTGGCTGAAGTCACAGTGTTGGCACGTGGCTGAGCTAGGACTCAGGCTAAGTGCCCAGCCTGCATTTTCTACCCACTGCTTGGTCTAGGAATGCATGCAGGGTGGGGAGGCAGGCCTGCGGCCCTTTCTTTTTCCCCTGCCTGGCGTCCAGCTGTTTGGCTGCAGGGAGGGAGGCTGGGGCCCAGATGAGCTCAAAGGGGACACAGCTGCACTCCTTGTCCAGGACACAGGCTCAGCAGTCCTGCCAGGTCCCCCTGTAGCACATAGAGCAGGAGGAAGAGGCCGGAGACAGCCAGCCACACGCTAGCAGCATGACTCAGCACTCCCACCAGCCACCGAGCTGTCTGGGGCAGGCCCCTGCTCCTCCCCGCCCTGTGCCTTCTCTTCTGTGGTCTCGACCCGGCCATGCCAGAGGCCTAATGCCGCAGGGCCACACCACACGGAGGCCTATCAGACCCAGGATCATCAGATACTGGGTCCCATCCCCCAGTTTCTCTCTGCTCTTCCCAGAAAGGTAACAGGTGGTCAAGAGCCCATAGAGGAGCTCTGGTCTGTGGGCCACAGCTCCCCCAAAGTAGCCACCCCATCCTGATGAAGCTGAAGCCAGAGAAGCCTGCGAGGCAACTTTCCCCAGAAAGAATCCGGGGAAATGGTTTGGCTGCTTCCCAACCCCACACCCACTTCCAGGGAAGTGAGGCTGGGCCGAGTTCAGGGACAAGGCTGGCCCTGTGGTGGCCAACAGACTCCAGTCAGGAAAGTGCCCTGAGGAATGCCCTGAGCTGGAGGAGGAACTGTGAGCAGGGAGAGAGTAGGTTAAACTTTATACTTTGTATTGCCTGGAACTACTAAGATTTTTGTGGTGGGGAGGATGCAAGCCCCACAGTTGTGAAGAGAAAAACCAGTAAAGAGTAAAAAGTTAACTCCTGTGAACATCAGCAGTGTGGAAATGTGTTCCACGGGGTTCTTCAATGGTTGAGTTTTCAGAAGCAGAGCAGGTTTTTCTTCTGAGGTACCTCTGTGTGGACTTGAACCTGCAACCCTCTGATGAGTCCATTACATCACCCACCAGGTACTTCTTAGTCAAAGGGCCCTGTACAGAGGTTTAGCACTTGTTGCAGGGTTAAACCACCCTAAGTGCCCAACCACAGACTGGCTAAATGGGGCACAGCAAAAACAGCACACAATGTGATCATTTTTAAGTGAGTAGGTACTTTGTAATTAATTAAAAAATTATTTAAAAAGAAAAGTGAAAAGGTGCCATCTCAGTCTAAGTGCCCTGAATATTTGGAGGCTGGATGTGTTGCTCTGTCAGGGCCCCCCTCCCAGGCACCTGGCCCAGCCTGATAATCCCCGAAGCCACCCCTAACCCAGCCGGGCCCAGGGCCAGCCTCAGTGCTGGGAACTCGGCTAAACTGTTTTCTTACACTCGCTCGTTCCATTATGTGTGGATCAGGAAGTTGAGCCTGCACGGGGAATTACTTCAAGCAACTGTAGGGAATGATTAACTCCTGTCTCTGGTTTGAAGTCAAATAAAATGCTCTTTAGCTCTTCCCGTTCTTTGTGATCTTCTCTTCTCACAGTGACTCACCCTCGGGTGTAGCCCAATCTACCCCAAAGCTCATCCGGACCCTGACGGCAGTTACTGCTGGGTGAAGTCTAGGCGGGTCTGGAAGGGCCAGTCTCACGGCCCCAAGTCTCTTTCTAGAAAGTGTCCCAGGAATGCCCACACACAGGAGGTGCTCAGTGTGGTAAGGCACCTGGTCATGGTCACTTCCAAACCTCATACCTTCCAGCACCAGGACAGCCCTGGTTATGGCCCTTCTGCTAGTAGGGTCCCACTGCTGGGAGGGTGTGCTGGGACTGCCTTGCCCCAAGGTCCTGTCATATCACTGGGAGAGCCTGGCCCCACAGGGCCCCCCTCTAGGAAGCTTCCTACCCTTGTGTCTCCCTAAGCTTCCTGTGCCCCCCTTGGGTCCTCACAGAGCCATCAAACATGGCTTTGGACACCTGAATTCAAATCCTGTGCCACAACTGGCAGATGACCCAGGCAAGGATCTTACCTGAGCCTCACCTGCAAGAGGGGCTTCCCCATCTCACAGGGGCTGGTAGAGGGGAAACCTGAAAATGTATGCAGGCACAGAGGAAGGAAAAGGCTGCTCAGCCACTATGCCTTGATCTCCAGACCTCTATATGAACATTATTTCTACTCTCCATTCCCCGCCCTCCCCCTTACCAACAAGAACCCAAACACCTCTCTGCAGTTGAAATCTAGCCAAAGTGGACACCAGTGGTGGACACTGGCCTCATGAGGGCCCCCTGTAAATGGCTTGGTACAGGAGCAGCAAACCCCCCCTGGCCAAACTGCTCATCTACCCTCTGCTAATTCAGTCGCTTCAATACTTGTTTCCTTCCTTCTTGACAGGAGATGATTCAGGGACCTTCCAAATCCTTTGACATAAGGGCTCTGAACAAGACAGGGCTGGCACTTAGACAAGCATGGGTGGGAGTGATCTTCTGAGATGCCCAAGGTCCACTGGGCTCGGGAACAAGGCAGGACCTCCTTAGCCAACACACTCTGGCCAAATAGCAGTCAGGATTGTGAGCAATGGGCACATAGGCCCCCTCAGGGACCACACCAGCAGGAAAGTCACAGCTGGGGCTACCCTGGGGGTGGATAGTGAATGAGGTGTGGCTTTGGCTGTGATTGTGGGTTCTCCAGGGACAGGCAACTGCAGGAAAAAGGGACTAGGTACCACATTAAAGTGAGCACCTACTGAGTGCAGGCATCTAGGGAACTGGGCAAGTCTCCTCTGAGCGTGTTTTCTCATCTGGAAAGGGGGCTAGTCTTGGACCAGCCTTAGTGGATCTTGGTGAAGACAGAGCAGGTGAGGATACACCCTAGTCAGGTGTGAAGAGGAACCGTGGAGTGGGAGTAAGGCTGGACCGCTGGGACTCCTCTCAAAATGATCTATGGTGGGCATGGGGGTGGGGTGTTACCTGGCTTTGTCGAAGTATTTGCCAGTGTAGGCCATTCCACACGCAGCTCCAAGACCCTGGCCCAGGGAGCCAGTGGCCACGTCAGTGAAGGCTTGTTTCTGTCACAACAGAGAGGACACAGTTAGTTACTCACAGGGAGAACAAGGGCAGTGGTTTCCCACTCACTGTCCTGGGATCCTGGACCCACTAGACCTAGAAGTCTCAGCTGCTGGACCCCCACCTAGACCTGGCGTGGAATGAGCCCGTGCCCCATAGTGAGTTCTCATTCTCAGCCCGCAGCAGCTGACAGATTTGAACCATGTGCCTTTGGGATTGCAGTGGAGCTCCTTACTGCTAGGCCAGCAGAATTCTCTTTAGTATTCGGTAGTTGTGAACCATCAAATCAGAAGTGACCCATAGCTGACCCTCCAGTGGGTTTTCAGAGGCAGTTAATGGCACAGGAGGGGATTGTCCGTCCTTCACCTGCAGAGCAGCTGGTGGATTTGAGCCATGTGACTTTGAGATAGCAGTACAACTTCTTACCACTAGGCCACCAGAGTTCCCTTTGGCTTTAGGGAATGGGTTCAAATCCCAGTTCTGCCCACTGAGGGTCCCCCCCCTTCTATTAAGAGTTTTGTGACCCCATGCTGAGATCTGAACTTATCTGAGCCTCAGTTTCCTCAGTTGTAAAGAGGGCCCACACGGCCCACCTCACAGAATGGCTGCAGAATTTAGGACAGAACTGACATAAAACATGCGGCCTGAGTGGTGCTCACGCTCAAGGTTGAGGGAAGGGGGTGACAGTTTATGGACAGTATCTGCAGCAATATTGGCACCACCTCCATATAGATTCCGCAGTGAACTCGTTCTCCCAAGCTAAGTGGCCAGAGAGTAAAGAAAGTTGGGGGGCTGCTGCTTGGGAAGAGGCTGCCCTGAAGTTGAGCCAGGGCACCCTTGTTTGGAACCTCCAAAGGCCTTCAGCACCAGGTGAGAACCCTCCCTCCCTTCCCCACCTCCACGCCTACCTAACACCTTCACCTTCTCTGCAGGTGTTCCTCCCATCCCCCACCCCTTGGGAAACAGGAAGTGGAGACAGAGCCTGTGAGGCCGCTGGCAGGTGGAGTGGCGGTGCCCTCACCGGGACAGGGTGTCCATCCAGGTCGGAGGTGATCTTCCGCAGGTTCAGCAGCTCGGCTTCGGGCAGGAAACCAGCCTCGGCCCAGACTGCATACAGGATGGGTGCCGCATGGCCCTGCCGGGGTGGGTGGGAGATGGGGGCGGTCAGAGGGGGGCTGGACTGGGGCCCTGTCCATTGTGCACACTGAGACTCTGGGCCCGGCGGAGCTGGCCGGCTGGGTTATCTGTTTCAGGGGAGGAAGCAAGTTTGGTTTTCAGCCTGATGTTCCCACAGCCAAGGCTGGGGACACCAGGACAGGTGCAGGGAAGCACAGCTGGGGTGCCAGACGAGGCCAAAACCGCAGCCGGCAGCCCTAATCCGTGATTTCTGGCAAGTGATAGACTTGGATGGACTTCTAAGTCCTAGTGGCTTCCCCAAGAGACCAGAGGCCACACAGCCAGGCCTGGGTACAGGCCGATTCTAGGGCCGCCAGGGCTCTCTGCAGCAGGACCTGTGGTTGTGATTCTCTCTCTGAAGGGCAGGGCAGGGTGGCCCACGTCCCTGCTGCTGAGGGAAGCCAGCCATGACCTCGCAGTGTTGGCACAACCTGGTGTGACGCACATCAGAGCTGCGACCCAGACTGGGATTCAAATCCTGGCTTGTAGGTATCAAGAATGGATCGACCAGTCATTTCCTCTGGGTTATGGCCCCGTTAACCTCCAAGGACAAGTCACTCAGGAATGCAGCAATGTAGTCCTCAGCTCAGGCTAAACCATCAGCCCCATGAGCAGCCCTCAAGGGAGGAGCTGGGACAAGGAGGCAGAGAAGGGGAACTGAGAAGGCTGGGCAGGGGCAGGAAAGTCACTGCCTGAACCTTCATGGGGCTCCACCACAGTTGGGCAGCCAGGGGTGGGCAGACCCAGTGCTTACCTTGGAGAGCACAAAGCGGTCATTGTGAGGGTTCCGGGGGTCCTGGGCCTTGTAGCGCATGGTGTGGAAGAAGAGGACTGCCATGATCTCAGCGGCGCTGCAGCACGATGTGGGGTGGCTGGGGCCGGAAGAGAAGACAGATACATGCACCCAAGGCCTGCAGCACACCCCAAAATGTCACACAGGCCAGCTTAGCAGAACCTGCTCCTGCTGTCTAGGACAGGGCACAGGGTCTCTAGGAAGTCACTGTTGGTGGTGCTATTTGGGGTCTGGGTCAGCTGGTGGAGGTCAGGGACCCCAGCATCCTCCTAGGATGAGCCCAGAGCCTCACGGTCATGGAGAGGAAAATATTCTGGGGCTGAACTGGGGGAAGGAGGAAGGAGGGACACAGGAGAGACACCTTGAGTGCTGGAAATCTCAGTCCCAGCCCCAGGTGAAGGGAAAGGTGGCTGAGGGGAGTCTTCAGTCCACAGTTCCCAAGTGTCTAAGCACTCTGAGCAGCCTTAGCCGTGTGGGGAGTAATCAGGTCTCTGGTGATGTGCTATATGCCACCCTGGGGATGCTGGGCCTGGCACTCAGGCGGCAGGTATAGGGGACGGAGGCCCATCCTCCCAGCGGTCTCAGCACATGGGTGTTTGCTCATAGCATCACTTGCTCCTCAGTAGCCTTTTCAATGGGCATATTGAGGGCTGGTTTTAAAACACAGCTTCGATGCAGACTTTTAAAAAGTAAAACACAGTCTCACTTTCTACAAAGACTATAGCCATGTAGAAGCAAAGATCCCTTCTGCCTGTGGATGAGGGCCAAAGTGGGGCCCCCAGGACAAAAGCTTGTCCTTTCAGCCCCGGAGTGGTGAGGTCACTCCATCTTTTTAATAATCACACAATCAATTGCTTGGATGGCTACTGGGCAAAAGAATGAACAGAAAATGAAAGAATTCCACTTTATAAATTAAACATGTTCAAGTCTAAGAGGACCCATTTAAGGAGATTTAATTCAGTGTTTCCCTCCAGGGATGAGGACAGAGGTTGGGTTTCCTGTTGGGACATAACTCCTAGCTCAACCTGAAGCCCACAAGATCACACAGTTTTGTTAAGGTGTCAGCCTCAGGACACGCGCTTCCTGGCCTCCTGTCCATGCAGCTGAGGTCAGCCCTCTGCACCTCTGACCCTATTCTCCCCAGGGCCCTTCACATGGCAACAAGCCCAATGCTAAACCCAAGGACACATGCAACATGTGGAGGTCACAGATACCTCCTCCCTTACCCACCCAGCCGGCACTGCCATTGAGTTAGGGATGAGTTACTTCCAGCGCAGACACGTTAGTAGAGAAATCCAGAGAACTGTCCATGCTGGTTAGAAACCCACATTCTCGACACACGGCATTTCATACTTAACCATTTCTATGAATTCCTGGTCGTGGGGGAAAGACACTACACCTGAAAGAGCGAGGTGAGGAAGAGCTCGTAAACAAGAACCCTTTATTCTGGATGGTAGGACCCCAAACCCGTGTCCCCAGTGCCAAGCCTTGAGGTGACCTAGAGAATAGCCTAAGTCTCTGAGGGCCAGTCTCAAAAATTCCTTGAGGAAGGGTAGGGGAAGAATATATTAGTGTGGGTGTGTGATACTGTACCCACAGCTACATGGAGAAAGAAAAAAAGACAGGAGCAGCGGACTGGAATGTTCCTTTCACCTCCAGACCTCAGGGCAATATTCCTACTGAGCAAGGTCTCTGGAGAAATGACATGGGGACACAAGTGGCTTCTGCATGCAGCAGAGGCATGAGTGGGCCAGGCAAAGCAGAATGAGTGGATGAAAGGAGAAAGGTCATCCTTGCAGAGACCAGAAGATGCAAGTGGAAAAATGATTTAAAAATATTTTAACCCTTCCTTGTTCAAGTCTATCAAGGGCAGGCTGCAATATGTTATTCCCTCCAAGCATATGCCTGGTTGTGCTCCTGCCACTGTCTCCATATTGCGTTGTTATGTGCCTTCGAGTGCACTAAAATCCATCATAATTCTATGAACAATAGGCTCTGAACCTGGTCCTATCCTGAGCCAACTTCACAGCCTCTGACATACCTGACCCCATTGCCACAGTCACTATGTCAATCCATCTCATCCAGGGTCTTCCTCTCCTGCACTGACCCTCTACCCTTCTAAGTATGATGTCTTTCTCCAAGGACCGACCTATCCTCTTGGCAGTCTATGGTCCATACTCTTCTCCAGGACCACAACTCAAAGGCATTGATTCTTCTCAAGAAAAACAGTGAGTGGTGTGTCTTAGTTGTCAGGGAGGGCCCTGTGCAAGGGTCCTGGGGCGGAGATATGAGCCAGGCTAACCATGAGTATAAACTGAGTACCGTTACCCACTTGGGATTAGTCATCGAATCCGGTGTCTTCAACTCATCTGTAGGCGGAACCCATTATTCCCTCACTGGCCACAGGGCAGGTGAGAGGGCCCCGGGAAAGGCTATGTAAACCCTAAGTGCTGAACAAACTAGGACACAGTTACTCTGGAGCAAATATTCTGAGCCTGGAGCTTTTTCTGCCACTCAATGTGTCCTGGGATTGGCACAGGAGAGATGGGGGAGGGGGTGGGAATGTGGGAGCAAACAGCACTAGGTGACACCATCAGTGGCGGTAACACCATCAGTGACAGTAACACCAATACTGCCTTCAAAACTTTTGTGCAGGGTTTCAGCACAAAACTGAACTTAGTTGTTGTGTACCGTAGAGTTGGAACTGACCCAGAGCCGACCCTCTGGTGGGTTTTCAGAGGCAGTTATTGCACAGGAGGAGACTACCCATCTTTCTCCTGTGGAGCAGCTGGTAGCCTTGAACCACATGCCTTCAGGATTGCAGTGTGCAGCTTCTTGCCACCAGAGTTCTCCGTACTTTGTAACAACAAATATATTTTCTATAAGCCCAGTTTACCCTCTGGCAGGGAACTGATACAAGCATATGACCTCTCCTACTGTACACACAGTAGCTTTCACTTATTTTCCCCTTCTGGGTGGTTTAATATCCTTTGGTTTAAATTTGAAATCTTTACCTCTTCTTTGCCTCTTGCTGCTGTCAATGACAATAGAGGTGTTGTGTTTGGGAGCTCATTTCAAATAATATTTTTGGAAGAAAATGAAACCAAAATACAATGCTACAATGAGTACTAGTAACCTACTGTTAAGGAAGCTGTGCTGCCAACCCAAGGGCACAAGGTTCAAATCCACCAGCTCTTCCACAAGAGAAAGATGGGCATCTCCTCTCATCTGTCTGGCAGCCTCTGAAAATACTCTAGAGGGTCAGCTATGGGTCCATTCCAACTCCACACAACATAACAACAACAATGCTACAATACTCGTAAAGAGATTAAAAATATATGAGATTGGATGCTGCTGCCTCCAGGTCTGAGCATACGCTGCTTTGCAGAAATCATCTTAGATAAAAAGGATAGTACTGCACCTCCATAAGCTGGTAAGAGGCGTTCACGAAGTGTGTTATATATTAACGAAGATCTGGTGATGTAGTTAGTCTGTAGGGAGTTGTGGGGCTAATCCAAAGGCTACATTCTCTGGAGGTTCAAATCCAATGTTAGCTCCATGAGAAAAATCTGGGCAATCTTCCTGTGTGATTTATAGCCTTGGAAACCCAATTGGGGTGGAGGGATGTCAGCTTTGAGTCAGTTCCAACTGCACAGCAATGAGTTTGAGGGTTTTTTGTAAATGACAGGTGATATATGTACTGTACCCATCAACAACTGCAGTAAGCCAGGTAATCACTTTGCTGTATACAAGAGACATAAGACACATGTGTTCTATATGGGAAACTATTATATTCTCTGGTAGAAATTTCTAAATTCTAGTACAGACTATGAATTGGCTCCAACTCAAGTTTCATTATAAACTTAGGGGTCATGGACTAAATGGCTGAACATTCTTAAAGTGAACATCACATGGCACATGACTGTATATACACATTTACACACATACTTTTCTCTCAAATCCTAGACTTCAGGGCAACAAAGTCTCTCAGAGGCAGCTCTTGTTCTTTCTGTTCCCTGAACTGCCCAGGCTGGCTTTTGCCTGGAAAGGACCACTAACTCTAGACCTCAGCTGATTACAAGTCTCTGCGCCCATGTCACCTCCTCTCAGAAGTCCTCCTTTGTTACAGATTAAAATACCTCTCCTACTAGAGCGAGGGCTACATGGTGGAGGGGACCTGGGGGAGGGTTTGTAAAACAATGAAAGAATCTTTTCTTTTACTTTTCCATAATTTTTGGACTCATGTACTTATCACTTGTTAGTCAAATTTGTGTCTTCTAGGTGGCAACACCCCCATGATACATCTTCAAGGATATGAACATGTACGGCCAAGCACAATCAATAAGAGTGCATCTAAATTCCAAAATCAATCTCCATAATAGTCTATGTGTTTCCTACTGCCAAAGGGGCCCTTTAGAGTAGTGAGAGAAGATCTTCACCCTGAAACCCACAGCGTCCCTTTTCAGCAGGAAGTAGCTAAGAGAATACGCCATCCCCTTTTCCTTATGACTCAGGGTGAAGTCTCTCTCAGGGAGGAGTGATAGGGAATGGCAAAGGACACACTGACAAAGAAGATTAATCAGAACTGGCTTTGACAAGCACTGTGGCATTTGGACAAGATCAAACTGGGAGGAGGGTAGAGAGAATAGTGCAACAATGAATGAGTGGAAGCCCAAAATCTCTGTAAATGTTTATGAAAATTAATAAAATATAATTATAGAAAGAAAACAAAACAAAACAAAACAAAAAAACCTCTCCTCCTTCAGAATGCCACCCCCAGACACTATCCTACTGTAAACCACCTGACACTATGTTACTGTGTCATCGATCCTACTGTAAACCAAGTTCCCAGAGGGTTGGGCCATTGACCTCTTGCATTGTTATGTCCTCAGGCCTCAGCAGATCTGGCGGAGTGTACAACAAATAAATGAAGTGGTGTTAGGGAAGTGACCTCTCTGTCTCAGCTGCCTCCTTTTAAAATGGAGATAAAACCTAACCGAATGAGGAAGGGACCCTGGGGGTGCCGTGTATTTGGTGTTAGACTGCCAATCAAAAGCAGCTTGAAATCTACCTGCCACG